AATAGCCATATTTTCTTTTGACTTTGTTTTTGACTTCTAAGTTGTTGTTGTCCTTGGCACACATTTGTTATCACCAAAACTCTTCAAGCTTCAGAGATGATCTCATCAAGCTCAGGCTCCCCTAGAACCCAGTATCTTAACCGGTTCGATGACCGATCTGATTTTTAAAACATTTCATGTACATGAATAAATCAAATATCTAATAACATGCGTAAGAAATAAATAGAATATCTAACAATATATTTAAGAAACAGATCATATATCAATCATATCACACCTTTTAGTGATTCATAATTGGATATGAGATTGATGAAAGAATAAAAATAAAAATTTGGTATGAGATTTGTGGTTGACTTGATGGGGGTGAGTGAAACAGAATCCAGAATTTGATGACGTGAGGGAATTGGAAAATGAACGGTTGAGATGGAGAGGAATGTTGACAGAGATGACAAGTCCAAAAGAGACAAGGCATTGGACACTCTGCAACATGCATTTATGGACTCTTAACTGTTCCATGCTTAAATTTTCAAAATGTCAGCACCAAGGACGAAGCATGCATATGCACACAACCGGAGACCCCACCTCAGTCACTTGCCATTTTGCCAAGTCTCACCTTTGGTACCCTTGTCTCTTACACTGTCCTCATATGAAATATATTTCACAATCGTGTGTGCTTCATATGAATAAATAAATAAAATGCTAGTATTTAGTATTTGGTTTTAAGACTGTGGAAGGTTTATGGATACAATTCAATTCAATGGGAGAAACATTTTAATTTGATATGTCACTGGTTATTTGTTTTGTGATTATACATATATAGAGAGATATACAACTTTACACCATCATCTACTTATATATTGTGTTGTATAGTAAATTTGTTGACATTTATAAATAAAAAAAAGTTTTAGATATTTTTACACTTTCATTTAATTACAAATAATCTTGTAAGATGATTTTGTTGACTTTTACACTAATGACTTCAAAACACATACTAAAGTGATTTTATATTGATTTATAATGTAAGAGTTTATACATTTAAAATGTTTAATCATTAAACTTTTACAAAAATTACTTTAAAGGTTATTATTCTCACGATTTTTGATTAATTGATAGTGTAAAAATATTTAAACTATATATGTACATTAAACTCTTCTATAAATATCGATGATGTTGCAAAATAATATAGGTTAATAATACATTTCGATTTTGAAATTTATGAAAATATACCAAATTTATTTAATAAGATTAATTGATAGTGTAAAAATATTTAAACTATATATGTACATTAAACTCTTCTATAAATATCGATGATGTTGCAAAATAATATAGGTTAATAATACATTTCGATTTTGAAATTTATGAAAATATACCAAATTTATTTAATAAGATTAATTGATAGTGTAAAAATATTTAAACTATATATGTACATTAAACTCTTCTATAAATATCGATGATGTTGCAAAATAATATAGGTTAATAATACATTTCGATTTTGAAATTTATGAAAATATACCAAATTTATTTAATAAGAAGTAAGAGGCAGCTAGCTGCCTGTCTTATTTTATGAGCTGTAATAAATAGAATAAATATTGTATTGAAAAGAGTGTATTACTTGCCTTCTTGACATAAATAAGGATAAAATTTCACACCATCATAAAATTCATGGAAATATAGGTGATAGGATGTGAGATATAAAAAATTTAGTGGAGTAGAATTTTTCTACAACAGTTAATTTTGTTTTAAGGTTGAAGTGTAATTTTCACAGTTGATACATATATGCATCAGCAACAGTGTGAGAAGAGGGAACAAATAAGATTTGTCACCACCCGAATTATAGGTGGTTAATTATCATGGGAGAGAAAGGGCTATTTGTCAAAACTGAAGAGCATATGGTACTGAATTAGCCTTACTTGGGAGGAGAATCTGATTCATTCTGTTAAGAAAAGTTAATAATAAGGTCATGATGACTCACACACCCCACCACAATCAGTTCTAGTCATCTCATTTCAGATTCTCTCTCTGTGCATGGACTGAAGCCTCACTTGAATGCTCCTCTAAAAGGAACATCAGCATGAGGCTAGTACTTTTTACCTATCTAATTCACCACCCTTTTTCCTTTTTGTCTCTTCCTCCCCTACTCCACTGTACATTTCTCTCTGTCCCTCTATTTATACATCCCCTTTCCTGTCTCAAGAAACTCATCACATAGAGAAAGAAATATGTCTCCAGCTACAGGTTCATCAAGATGGAGCCCTACCACAGAACAACTCATGATCTTGGAGGAACTGTACAGGAGTGGCATTAGAACTCCTAGTGCCTCTCAAATTCAGCAAATAACAACACACCTTTCCTTCTATGGCAGGATAGAGGGAAAGAATGTGTTCTACTGGTTTCAGAACCACAAAGCTAGGGATAGGCAGAAACTCAGAAGGAAACTCACCAAGCAACTGCAGCTACAGCAGCAGCAACAACAACAACAACTCCAACTCCATCATTGTCAACTCAACCAGGATATCACTAACCATTATGTTGCTTATCCTCCTCGTTCTACCACCCAAGATTTTCCCTTTTTTAACTCACCTACCTTGCTTTTTCAGGTAAGCTTCCTTTTCCCACCATGCATGTGCAAAGCCTAACTAAGAGATTGTTTAGATACAAGTTTAAAAGTGTCTGAGAGTTTTTTTACCTAGTAGAGAAGCTTCTCAAAACACTGATACCTTCTATCCAAACAAAATATGATGTATTAATGTTATGCTGTGTGTCCCCCCTCATGCATGTTTATAATAAATCTTGGATGCAATTAAGTGATGTAAATGCGCATATATAATGACATGCACAAGGGAATTAAGAAGTCTTGGATTCATTGATTTAAGAGTTTGAGCTATACTTGAAGTCATGGAAAAATTAAACAATGTTTGTTTTTCTACTTTCTTCATTTCATATGTCCAGGGAAGAGCTGCAAACACATCAGAACAGGCATTCAATTGCAAATGGAGTGTGTATAACAACCCTCAAAGTAATTTGGTGGAGAAGAAAGAGACGACATTCTGTAACTACGGTTGGACAACACTTGTCGATGCTTATCAAGCATCTTCATGTTGCACTCGACCTCTCAAGACTCTTGATCTCTTTCCACTGACAACCACCAGAATCAATGAAGACTGCACCACACCACCCAAGTAGTTCTAATAACTCTATTACTGTTCCACTCTCACCAACTAAAAACCTAAAACTGCATGTGTGACATTGGATGTTAATAACCTATTGCTTAAGGAAATTAATCTCTATATACAGTGCTTCTAAGGGTACCATGCTGGGATCAATGTACCGATTACCAAAGAATACTTACTCTTGTACGTAGGATCTTTGGTTGCACCATGTGAAAGCATGATGGAAGTTCAATGCTTTCTTTGTGTGGGTACATGGTATATCCCAGTGTGATACTAAGATTATTTTATCTCATATAATGAACTTTGTCACTTGTTTCTAAGTGTTCTTCTGTCATTTCGATTTTGTTGTCTTCACTTTCATTAGTTTAGCTAGTTATGAGATAAATATTTTGACTATTCTGCCGAGTTTGTATGGGAATTGTCGAAACGGTAATTTGTGTATTGATATTATATGGTCCCGACCTGTTATATCTTTTAAGTCTATTTAATGTGTACCGGTTGTCCTTCGTTCATCAATCTCGAAATTCTCTCATCGTGCATGATGCAAAATAAAAAGTCTTTATTAAACTTGTTGTAACTTTTTGAGCGAATGTAAAGGTTACTGCTGTTTTTGGACATGGATCACACCACATTTAAGACAAATTAACACATAGAGTACATGGTCTCAACTGTCAATCGCTGAATTGATATATACGGATGAATATTGGTAACATGACACGACAAATTTGAACAAAAATTATTTAAAACTTGCATGAAAATTCAGAAGTTATTTGTTTATTAAGAGGGAGAAAATTACCTTTGACATTTTATGAATAACTAGTAGAGTTTATATTTTGCTTAGGGTAAGGTGAGAAAGAATGTTATTAAGTACTATATAATAAATAATAAATGATATGCATGCACTTGCATTTTCACCAATCTTTCACTTTATTTTTCTCATCTTCACATATTACATATATTACTTATCATATATCTTTCACTTCTCTTTCTCAATTCTTTTTCTCTTTATATATACTTTAAACATCTCCAATAATATTCAAATAATTAATTAATTTTATTTTTTAAAATGAGTCTAAACATATCACTTCAATTTTAAGTTATCCATTTAATTTATACTCCAATACAATTTTTTTTATCTAAAATTACTTATCTCAAATACTTAAAATATTTCATATTTTTTCTACTACAAATACAAAATTTAAACAACTTATAAGTAAGAGTTGTTTATATAAGTAACTCATTTTAATTTCATATCTTTCTCTTATATATACATATATATATATATATATATATATATATATAAT